CTTGGTCAACATATACAATGATATTCCTGCTCTTTGTGACATACATGCTCTTGGTCAACATATACAATGATATTCCTGCTCTTTGTGACATACATGCTCTTGGTCAACATATACAATGATATTCCTGCTCTTTGTGACATACATGCTTTTGGTCAACATATACAATGATATTCTTGCTCCTTGTGTCATACATGCTCTTGGTCAACATATACAATGATATTCCTGCTCTTTGTGACATACATGCTCTTGGTCAACATATACAATGATATTCCTGCTCTTTGTGACATACATGCTCTTGGTCAACATATACAATGATATTCCTGCTCCTTGTGTCATACATTCTCCTGTATTAGTATTCGCTCTGTGTCCCTATTCTACCATGTTTTGTCCCCAGTAGCACAGCGGTATGTCTTACAACGCTAGAATCCGGGTTTAGATATCCATGATGGGCAGAGCACAGATAGCCCATTGTATAGCTTTGTGCTTAACTTCAAAAACAAAAATCACCATTTTTTACATTTTCCAGTTATCTATCAAAGTAAATTTCTGTTAAATGTAGTAGAGTTAATATATTTGTTTCTCATCATGTTGAGGCTTGGCATGTCATGGTAGTTAGGACACTCGATTCGAAATCTGCGGGTCACCAAACATGCTCGCCCCTTTCAGCCAAGAGGAGGAGGGGCGTTATTACGTAACGGCCAAGAGTAGCCCAAGATTTAGCGGTGGGTGGTGTTGGCTAGCTGCCTTCTCTCTAGTCTGTCACTTCTAAATTAGGGGTAACTAGCGCAGATAGCCCTCAAGTAGATTTGCGCGAAATTCAAATAAAGAAACAACAAAAACGTATCACGGTATATTACTTAGGGTTTATATTTTTATTCCATTAAGCGTATCATGATATATTACTTAGAGCTTAAAGTTTTATTCCATAAAACGTATCATGGTATATTACTTAGGGCTTAAAGTTTTATTCCATAAAACGTATCATGCTATATTACTTAGAGCTTAAATTTTTATTCCATAAAACGTATCATGCTATGTAACTTAGGGTTTAAATTTCTATTCCATAAAACGTATCATGGTATATTACTTAGGGTTTAAATTTCTATTCCATAAAACGTATCATGGTATATTACTTAGGGTTTAAATTTCTATTCCATAAAACGTATCATGGTATATAACTTAGGGTTTAAAGTTTTATTCCATAACACGTATCATGCTATATAACTTAGGGTTTAAAGTTTTATTCCATAAAACGTATCATGGTATATTACTTAGGGCTTAAAGTTTTATTCCATAAAACGTATCATGCTATATAACTTAGGGTTTAAAGTTTTATTCCATAAAACGTATCATGCTATATAACTTAGGGTTTAAAGTTTTATTCCATAACACGTATCATGCTATATTACTTAGGGTTTAAAGTTTTATTCCATAACACGTATCATGATATATAACTTAGGGTTTAAAGTTTTATTCCATAATTGTTTCTCCTGTCCAAAACGATATGGAACTCAAGTGGTCTCAAGCTCGAGCGGTGTATATTATAATCCGTGGTTCATTAGGTGTAAACTTCCCTAACCTGCTTCACCCTTAACCCTATAACACACCTCATTTCATTGTTCTGTTAATAACAGAGACACGAGTCGAGTACTACTACTGTTTTAAACAGAAATGATGAGAAGAAAAAAACATCCCAGGAAAACTTACATCAAGTCTCAGATATCATGTATCTAATATAATTCTCAACCAGCTTCTTACTCTATGACTTCATGCCTACCTAAACAAACACTCCAACTTCTCTGTAATCTATAGATCGCCGAGTTATTAGGAATACTTTTCTGTTAATATTTAACAAAGAATTCTACATGTATTTAACCCCGATAAAACTAATCCTTAATGGATATTTATATAAAGTAGATTGAAAAATCCGTATGAAAACTTATAGTTGATAACTGTTACTCTTACTTTCTCCTAACATAACTAAATTTATGAGGAAATCTAAATATTAAAACATCTAACAGTTCTAGATATTTTAACAGTAAAGATTAACAACATTTTCTGGAATATAACGAAGTATACATTTTTCTATTTATTGGCTACTTCTATGAAGATTGATTCTTAATAGTATGTTTTTGTTGTTTTTTTGTATTGAGGTACTGTAAAAATGGGATTATGAAGATTAATTGTTCGTTTTTATTTTTATTCCATTTTCACAAAATAGGTTATTTGGAATAACACGACTATGAAAAAATTGTAAGATTTTTAGTATTTTTTTGTGAAATAGGTTATTTAGTGGCAAATTGTGTGATTTTCTTTCAATACAGGTTATTTGGAACAACAGGGTTATGTTCAGCTTGTAACAAAACCATCCCAGCCTTCGAGATGGTGATGAGAGCCAGAGGAAACGTGTATCATCTGGAGTGTTTCGCTTGTCAGCAGTGTAACCACAGGTAGAATTGTACTGGTTGTTTATTGATATTTATCTATGTGTATACATTAGAATGATAGTCTTGGATTTATTCAGCAGTGTAAACCACAGGTAGAATTGTACTGGTTGTTTGTTGATATTTATCTATGTGTATACATTAGAATGGTAGTCTTGGATTTATTCAGCAGTGTAACCACAGGTAGAATTGTACTGGTTGTTTATCTAAGTGTATACAATAGAAAGTAACTTTGATAAACTATTGAACATGCGGATCCTAGTCCGCAGGATAACCACAGGTAGAATTGTACTGGTTGTTTATTGATATTTATCTAAGTGTATACATTAGAATTGTAGTCTTGGATTTATTCAGCAGTGTAACCACAGGTAGAGTTTGTGTTTTAACTTCATCCAATTAAACAGCCGTATAATGTAACGAAAAAAAGATGTGTTTTGGTCTGTCTTAGCTTTAAAGCATCCTTACTCCTAATAAGATGTGTTTGGTCTTTCACAGCTTTAAAGCATCTTGACTCTTAATGAGATGTGTTTTGGTCTGTCTTAGCTTTAAAGCATCCTTACTCCTAATAAGATGTGTTTTGGTCTATCACAGCTTTAAAATATCTTTGCTCCTGATTAGATGTGTTTTGGTCTGTCGCAGCTTTACTCTTAATAAAATGTGTTTTGGTTGGTCACAGCTTTAAAGCATTGCCACATTATTTACTTCTAATGAACTAAACGCTGTTGCAGCTAAAAGCTGTTCATTCTGAGAAAACATAGGGGGGATCATATTCAAGTTAGATACACGTTAGTTGAATCAAATTCCTAAATTTAAAGGTTTTTTTATAACAACTCACGTGATATAATACACAATAAAAAGATCTGTGGGAACGCTGTGGAAATAAGAAGTGACTCGGAGTCACTGAGCCGGACAAACTCGATATCTGAGTAAACCGTGTAAGGAAGAGTGAACTTTCTGTAACACGACGTAACATATTCACAAAGGGACTCGGAGTCACTGAGCCGGACAAACTCGATGTCTGAGTAAACCGTGTAAGGAAGAGTGAACTTTCTGTCACACGATGTTACATATTCACGAAGTGACTCGGAGTCACTGAGCCGGACAAACCAGATGTCTCAGTAAACCGTGTAAGGAAGAGTGAACTTTCTGTCACACGATGTTACATATTCACGAAGTGACTCGGAGTCACTGAGCCGGACAAACCAGATGTCTCAGTAAACCGTGTAAGGA